CCTCCTTCTCCACCAGCTTCTCCCCTCCTCCTCCACCACCTTCTCCCTTCTCCCCCTCCTCCACCACCTTCTTCCTTCTCCCCTCCTCCTTCTCCACCAGCTTCTCCCCTCCTCCTTCTCCACCACCTTCTTCGTTCTCCCCTCCCTCCTTCTCCACCAGCTTCTCCCTTCCTCCTTCTCCACCACCTTCTCCCTTCTCCCCTTCCTCCTTCTCCCTTCTCCCCTTCCTCCTTCTCCCTTCTCCCCTTCCTCATTCCTAGACATATTGAGTCGGTCATACGGCCGCCGTGCGTATAGCCATATTGAATCTGGCTATACGCACGGCGGCCGTGTGGGTGTTACGTGTACTTATGAAGATAAATGTTTAATATTGACATACTTCTTGCTATACGTCTATCCAACATGTCTGCGCACTAAGCAAGCATGTATTTTGTAAATTGAATATTATTGAGAATAGCGTGTGTCAAGAGATGGAGCGTTCACATATAACTGACTTTATATTTACAGGTTGCGAATCTCTGGCAAAACCTAGTACGTTAAGCTGGTAAATTTTACCTTGGCTTAGCACCCTGATTTATTAAGCTGTATTTTTAGTTACATTTTCATTGACATTCACATTGTCATGACATGAGTCATTACATTAAAATCCAGAGAGACCAGGTACAAGATTTCGTTGCGCAAAAGATGCGTTGTTCCCTGACCGCCGAGAGCAGTTATTGAGTTAAGCAGCGCACTTCCACGGGAGCTGCATGGGCGCATGCGACCGTGGGGTGTTGTTTGTAGCATCTCGCGCTGCCTGCTATACGGATTTGCGCGCTGAAGGAGGGCGCGCGCGCGAATCCGTATAGCGGGCAGCGTAACATCGAGCAGTTTTCGTCACACGTACATCGGCTCGGCTACGGCGGCCTTGGGGGGGGGCTTTTAAATTATAGATTCACCCGCGTTTTCACATCCTCGCCGTCGTCCCGTCACCGGCCGTATTTGCGTACCATATCTGGCACATATTGTCACCTGCCGTGACTAACAATTGTCACCTAGTCACTTCATGCTCTTTACACGGTCTCCTCACCCTGTGTGTATTCATTTGCTATAGTATGCACTAGATATCAATAAGGTATCTATATACAGTAACATATGCATCAATGCTGCCGCAGCCAGGCACGTATGCAAACAACGCAGCCACGCTGTGCGCGCTGCCGCTCTATTCATAAATATGGTCTGCTCAATGACGTAGAAAAAAAGAAATGTTGAAAGAGAGAGAGTGTGTGTGAGAAAGACAGTGTGTGTGTGAGACAGAGACAGATAACAAGAGAGAGAGTCAGAAAGTGAGCACACACGAGAGAGAGAGAGTGAGAGACAGAGAGCGAGAGAGAGGAACAGGCAGAGGTGCAATGAATTGGAAGCAGACCGGGGGGAGCAACGGAGAGAGAGGGAGAGACATACAAAGAGACAGCGACAGAGAGAGAGGAGAAAGAGGAGGGGGAGCGGAGAGTTGAGGGGCGGGGGTGCGGAGACACAGGAGGGGGACACGTTCAGAGAGCGGGGGGTCGAGGAGGGGGAGAGAGAGCAATAAGGAGCGGTGAGCGTGGGGGACGAAGGCAGGAGGGGAAAAATAGAGGCAGACAGAGGAGCTGAGGAGCGGGGAACGGAGAGAGGGGAGCAAGCGGAGCAGAGAGAGGGTTGGGGGCAGCAAAGAGGGGGGTTAGCGATTTCACATATATAGGCATTGGTACTCGTCGAACGACCAGCGACCGACGACCGGACGAAACCAGGAGCACAAGTGACGAGAGAGAGACAGAATGGCATGTGCTGACATTGTTCATCGAGAATTGTAGGTTGTTTACGTGGCTGAAAGATTTTGCTGGGAGCATCATTAAGTATTCGTATTCTCCACGTATTCTGGTCGCCACAGGTCCACGTATTCTCTCGCTTCGCCGTATTCGTAAAAACATGTGTGATTGACATCACGGTTTGTTCAGCAACGGACGACGTCATCACCTAATGGCCAATGAGTGAGCATGTGGTCGGCGATTGACAGCATGTCTTGGCCTTTCTTGTAGCAGCGACTACGTCTTAATCTTGAGGCACGCGACTCCCACGAGCAGTTCTGGGCCATTTGGAGATGGCCTCTAGGCGTCGATCGCGAAATGTCGCTTGGAAACCGCCCCGTTTTCGGGGCGTTTCAGAGCCGTTCAGGTTAGTCTGTCTAAGAGGACAAAAAGGGGTGGCGTGTTCGCGCTCACAAAGCTATATGTAAACAAATACGTGCCTTACAGTAACGTGTGTTGCGAGGTGCCTGCCTCCGATATCCATTTCGACGCCCGCTAAGCCAAGCATAAAGCGAGCGGGCATGACGTCACAGACAGCTACGTTCATTGGCTAAAACAATCGAGTAGTGCAGGTAGGGATTTTCGGAATTATTTAATTGTAAGAAAAACTTCAATGTTTAATGAATGACGCACTCGTTCACTTCCGAAAGCGAGTAAAAATGCCAAATATTTCCACTTCGATGCGAAATGCATCGGCCGGGCCTTTCATTATTTACGAAAAGCAAACGGTCTCGCCAAACACCTACACGCAGTAACTGGTCACGTCGGTGACGCCCCATTCATGCCCATCAACAAAGAAGGCGGGGCTTATTCTGATTACAGAGATGTGAAAATGCGACAGAAGGACTTAGCGCAGTGCGCTAAACAGCATGTTATTTTCGTATTTGTGGCAAACTCGTAGGAAACGGTTCTGGCGTAGCAGAATGCCCTAGTTCCTGAGATCGGCGATTTGCTGGTCCAATGGGTCCCCCATATTTAAAAATATCAAAGACTGGTGCGGCGTAGACCGATTGGAAGACAAAAAGTGTCAAACCTCGGCGCGCCTCGTCATCATGGCCACATCACGTCAAGTTCGAATTAGTTACAACGACAAAGCTTAGAATTAAGTTAGGGTACTGGTGACGGTTAAGTGACTAGTCCCTTTATACTAAGGGGCTCTGAGTAATAGCCTCGCAGAGTAACCTGACACTTTTTCACCAGACATTGACACTGTAAAGTGTAAATAGTTTAAATTCTTTTGGACACATTGATTTAACATTGAGACAGATACTGTGCGCCACCAACGAGGCCTAGTCTGGTTGATCTTCTTACGCTCTTTCAAGAGCCCAGCTCAGTATATGGAAGAAGAAGAAGAATAAGGGGGTTCCTGAGTTGGTTAACCGTTACTCGTTAGGGAGTCGGAGAGAGTGGTCATGATTTACTAAGTAATTTCTATTAAATTAATATTATATTTTGCAGCGCCGCATTGGTGAATGTGTCAGCGAGAACATGAGTTTATCTGCTCGTCACTGTCAGTTTACTGTGCTATGCAGTAAAAAATCCTAGTTGGTGGGAATCTCCAAACTACTGTTCTGCTACTACTTCGTACTCCTAATCTGCATCACACCTGTCTTTCTTTTTAGACACTGAGGAACATAATAGTGTCATGCAAAAGCTATCAGAAGGAGACTACACTGGTGTGCTAGTAGACACTTACAGCATCTTGGTGCCTTACCTATCAGCTGATGCTCCGATCACCGATAAGTTGAATCGTGGATTGCAACAATATCTTGATGCGGATGGTGATGAGAGACCTATGAGGTTTGTATCGCAATCATTTTCCACTGACGTACGCAATACAGGTTGTGCATCCCTTATTCGAAAATCTAAAATTCAAAAAACTCAAAAATCTGGAAATTTATCTGAATGCTGGCATGGTCCAGGAGTGAAAAATTCCATTATTTTTCATGATGAATTTCAATGTTTCACAACTTTTGCTATTGGTGATTGCCAAGGTGGACTGCTGTGTTAGGGATAGCTTACCTTTCTGATGCTTTCGTGTGGATATTAGTATGATTTCATGCACGAAATAAAAAAATAAAAAATATAATTGGGTGTAGGTTCTGTGTGTAAGCTGGAAATGAAACATTCAAATGAAACACGAATCATCACGACTTAATGAACTTCGTATTCCCAATCCCGAGCTACCACATTATATAGGTATACACTCACAATATACAGGTATTCAAAATTTGGAAAATACTGGAATACGAGAAACTTCGGTTACAAACTTTGGAACATGGGGTGCTGAAGCCGTATCAGTATTTTTACCTAGGTAATGGCAATTCACACACACAGATAGTTTAGCTCATAGGGTCTATGTCCCCCAGGGTACTGCCGGAACGTACCCTGGTCATTATTTGATATGGTTAGGGTTAGGATTAGGGTTTGGGTTCGGCTTAGGTAGTAGGCGTAGGCGACTTCCTAGACTCGTTAGTGGAGTAGGCGAGGTACGGTTCGGCATATTAGATAGTACCAGGGTACGTTCCGGTATACCGGACCGTACCCAGGGTACATTCCGGCAGTACCCCGGGGGACATAGACCTTCTCAGCGATAGTTTAGCTGTAGAGTAACTATTTTGTATGCTGTATAATTTTACATTGTGTCATTTTTTTATTTTACAGGGAGAGAAGGCTTATATTCGCTGCGATAGCTGCAATGAATTTGTTTATACAGAACAACTGGACAGGTCCCCCATCCCAGTTACGCCCATGTGACACATTACCTATATTGTTTGGTCCTAACACACTGGTATGTGTAATCACAGGCTTTTAAAATTATGCTAGATCTGGAAAGGACTGTATATAATAATATCCTATTTATAGATTCAGCATCAAAACATCAAATGAATTAAATGTAAATATCGCTCCTGAAATGCATCCTGCACAATAATACCCACAATAATTAATATATTATGAACCATTTAACTAATTATCTAGGCTGGAGATATCCGATGTCAAGTGTTGAAATTACTGGCTGTGGACGGAAACCCCATCTATCAGCTTGTAGTCTTTCCCGAGTACTTCTATTTTGCAAGGATGGTATTAGTCTCAAGCCAACAGCTGTTAAAGGTTTGTCTGGTTATCTAAATTTATAATTCTTTGTTGGAAATCTGTTATATTTCATGATAATGTATCATAGGTCTAATCAAAAGATTTTTTTTGTAAGTTACGAGTATTTATACCTATGATACATTATCATAAAATATAATAGATTTCTAACAAAGAATTATAAATTACATACATATATACATATACATATACATATACATATACATATACATATACATATACATATACATATACATATACATATACATATACATATACATATTATGTTATATATACATATGATGTGTGTTTGTTTCAGCATACATGCTGTGAGCTGTTGTCGGTCAGGTGTTTGTGGCTTCATCAACAGCTGCTTGATGAGCAAGCATCCGTCATCAAGAATGAAATCTTAGCCCTCATAGAATCTGGTAAAGATTAGCAGGATGTATAAACATTAACAGCTTATAATACAATTTCAATACCATACAAAGCTTTTGTAAACATCTTTTTTTATAATGCATGCCAAGTCAAAATATAACTGTGTGTTAATTAGCTATTATTTGAGCTTGACTGTAATGCTTTACTGTTATTGTTCATGTGTGACTGACTGCCAAAGACTGTACACGTGCATTCTTGTTTGTCATTTCTGCAGTGTCATCAAAGGAGTCGATAATGACTGGTGGCGAGAGCAGGTATGATCGTTAATTGCATATGGATTGCATTGTGTAATGCCATTCAATGGAGAATAACGGAAGTGGGAATGTAGTACGAAATTACGAAAGTAGGAAATTCAAACAAACGAATCACAGTTATTCACATTCAAAAAACGTAGATATTATCTGAAATAACTTATACATTCGTTGGTAACTGTATTTCAAAATTTGCTTTTCTTTGTTACAAGGCAAATTGAGGAGTTCCACATAGAGGCTGGCCATATATGTCTGTACTATTATGAGTACAAAAAAGCTAAAAGCCATTTTTTGGCTAGCACCAAATTGCTTGGAATGGAGCTAGACTTTACTGGTGAGTTATGTTTATTTACTGCGGAATTGTTGATCCACCATACCCTAAAGTAGATTCATAATGCGGTTTGAAAATTGTAGATGAATAAATGTGTCAGTCTTGTCCATCTGATAGTAAAATCATAGAAAAAGCTAACAACTAGTCAATTTTTTTTAAATGCCACCATCGTATCAACAGCAAGTGCAGTGGTTGGCCCCGTTTCATGGCATGCTGTCTTAGAAAATTGTATATCAACAGCAATAAACCACCATCAATGGCCCACTTAATGCTTTTCCTTTTTTTAGTGCCCTTCACATAAATTCCATGTTGCATAAGTTATCACACGTTATCCTGCGTAAAACGAGTTGCGATCCAACAGCCCGTGGTGCACTAAAATATCTGATTAAACTAAAGGCAACACTTAAAGGCATAATTCGACCATCGATTATGCAAAGTTGACGAATGCTACAGTAACTGGCACCTTGTG